TATCAATTCCTGGGGTCATACTTCTAAAAAAAGCAGCAGCAGATTTTTCTTTCTTTGTCCTATCAAGTAACTTTAACCAGAGTGGTCAGTTCGAACTGCATAGTGTCATCAGGGCTTACCCTAGTGCCATGGTACCATATTTATCAATATATAGTTGTTGTTGTTGTTGTTGTTGAGTGATGTCAGATAGGAATCAACTCATAGCTGATTCTCCAGTGAGTTTTCAAGGCAGTCTCGTGGGAAAAAATAACTCATCCTTCGCACAGAAGCTGACGGATTCAAACCATGCAGTGCAGGCCACCAGATTTTGTGAGGGTCATACTTTTTTACAATGCCTTCCGTGCAGCTTGAACTTCCTTCATTATATTGGTTCTTGATCATATGATGCTTGTTGAAATGGTTCCGTTGACCAATTCTTTTTGGTTATAGTGACCGTAGATATTCTTTCCATCTTCTTCTTTTGATGCTTCTTGCATCATTCAAGATTTTGCTCCTAGAGAATCTTTCAGTATTGTAATTCAAGGCTTGAATTTGCTCTTCAGTTCTCTCAGCTTAAGAAAGCTAATACTTACTTATTTACTGAAGGAGCCCTGAGGGCAGTCAGGACAGAGTTGTGTGCGAAGGCCTAAAGGTGGAGATTCTCTGGCATTTCAAATTTATCAGCCTCTCTTCAGAAGAAAGATGAGCAGTCTTTCTTTTAAAGACTTTAAACTCCTTGCAATATAGAGCCTTGGGAACCTACTGGGGAGTTGATTATGAGTTTGACCCAACTCAACAGCAATGAGAGAAAAAGGAATACTTATTGAACATAAACCAAAGTGCTTTACATACTGTCTTCTTAAATTTCTTTTTTCACACCAGTCCTGCAAGGTAAATAGTATTAATCTCCCCTTTCACAGACGAGGAATCTGAGGCTCCAGTAGGCTGGGGCACCTACTTAACAGCATACAGCTAATAAAAGAGAGAAGCTGGACTGTGACTCTAGGTAGATAGGTCCATGACCCTAAAACCATCCCTAAGGGTGCCAGAGGTCACTGAGCAGGCAAAAGGGAGTCTGAATGCTGACGTCAATCTACTGGGCATGTGCCCTGTGGGAGAAAGAGGAATGATCATCGATTGCAACAGGCAAGAAATCAATAGGAAACTAATCTTTTAAGTACTCTGTAATAGGTTGAAAACTATTTCAAAAGGAAGAAAAAAGTGTCCTTCCAGTCTAGGAAAATTAAAAGAGGTCTAGCAGGCTGAAGGTCTTTATCTTCTTAGCCCAGAAAGGCAATTGAGAAGGAGCCCTACATCAAGCTGAAGCCCTTGGTTGACGTTTGCCTCTCAGCCAATCTACAGCTGAGCTGTCGTCCCTTAACAGGTCAAAGAAGGCCTTTTCAGTGTCAGTGAACAGGAAGGGAGAGTCTTGACTAGAAAGTTTGCTCTGAATCACAAACTTTCCTACTTGGTCTTCCTCTTTGTATGATCTGCTGGGTGAAACTACCTTTCTTTCCTAGAAAGATATTTTTCCACTCAGTCCAGATCAAGGAGGGAGTCAGCTAACGCAGGCAGCCCCAGTGTTTCTTCCTAGTCATCTTTGACTTTGGCAACAAATCCTGTTTATTCTCTGTCACTTCCTCTCTCTCCTCCCCTTTCCCCTCCTCTCTCTCCCTCATCTTTCTTTCAAAATTGCCTTTGGGTTGGCAATGCAACTCTTTAGCCAGCGGTCCAGAGCTCCCTTCCTTTTTCCGTGGTCGAAAGTTTTCAGGGGCCACACACACAGGTAGATGTAAGAAGAGTAGAAACTGTATAAAAGTCTAAAGCGTCGCCACAAGGAGGCGGCAACAGCACACACTTAACCTGTAGATGCTTAATCTGCATAATCTCCTCTCTACCTTTAACCCTGCCATTCTCTCCTGAAAGTGTTAAACATGCATGATCTCTTCCCCACACCCTTACCTTAACCTAACACCTTCCTTCTCTAAGACAGGTTTGAGAAACTCATACTCCCTCTCTCCAGTATATAATAAGTCTTCTGCTTTGTCCACTCCTCCAACCCCTGTCTCTAAAATCACTTTCCGGCAGCAGCAGGTGGGAGAACAAGAGCACTACTGTCCAGCCAGGGCAGGGTGACCTGGGGCTTGGAAAAGCCTGGAAATCTTCATGGAGTTGCTGAGCCTAGATGGATGAAAAGGATTCCAGTTGGCACAGTGGAAGGGAAAGAAGTTAAAACGCAAAGCACACATGGGAAGCTGGAAGAGCGGAGAGAGGTGTGTGATGGGCGACCCTGGGCTCAAGACACAGCAGACCAACAGCCTCTCTCCAAGGCCCTGCCCCAAACCATGAAAATATGGGAAGGGTGTGACTCAGCCAATAAAAACATTGTGATTCAGCAGACAAGAAAGGCTCTCACAGCAGCCCTTTTGTTCACCCTACATCCCTCCTCTTTTCCCCACTAAATTCTCGGACTGGAAACCAACAGTTCTGGTGGCCCAGTAGTAAGGAATTGTGCTGTCAACCCAGCAGCACACAGCTCACGTTCACCAGCTGCTCTGAAGAAGGGAGATAGACAATCAAAACCTGCTGGAGGGTCAGCTCTGAGATACACCAACAACATTGTCTAACAAAGGACTTCTACCTTTCTATCATGCCTGAGATAATAACAAATATGGATTCTTGTTGTTATATACCATTGAATTGGAATCGACTCATAATTGACCCTCCAGCAGGTTCTCAGAGGCAGTAAGTTGCACGGGAGGAGACTGCTCATCATTCTATGAGGGTCTGTTTAGATGGTGAAACAATTGTTGGGCTGTTAACCAAAGGTAATTAACTCATTGCACAGCTGGCCCTCCCATGGCTTTTTGGAAGCTGTGAATCACAAGAGATGAGATTGCATATCTCTCTCCCAAGGATCTACTGGCAGATTCAAACTGTCCACCTTTGGTTTGGTAGCACTAACTCTCTACCTATTTGACCACTAGCACTCCTCAACTAAAAGGTGGTGGTAGAAGTTGTAGTGTACTGTTGAGTTGGAACCAACCCATACCTGACCCTCCAGTGAGTGGGTTTTCAGAGGAAATTAATTGCCCAGGACATTACCTATCCTCCTCCCACAGAATAGCTGGTGGGTTTTGAACCCCATGCCTTTGGGATTGTAGCACAGTTTTCTTAACAAAAGTAAGGCAGTTCTAAATTACAGGAGAAAGATAAAGCAGCTTCTTCCCATTATGATACCGTCTTGGAAATCTATTGGAGGGTCACCCTGAGTTGGAACTGACTCGACAGCAGAGATGGGTTCAACATTAGTGGGGTCAGTAGACAGATGGTCTGACATGGTCCAATCTAGGAGGGAGAGTCTTTGGTCTGACTGGCATTCAAAGGACCTTCCCTCACAGAGAACAGGGGAGCTTTTTGCTGGTTCCCAAGACTGTGGGAAGCCCTGACTTACTGTGATCAACTCAGAGGAGCCGAGGAACAGGAACAGTACTGGCACTTGAGGAAGGGACAACACTTAGCGTTCAAGAGCAACCTGAAGGAGTGTTCTGTGGTCACTCAAAGGGATGCTAGAAATGGAATTCTTCCAAACATTCTCCATACTTAGAATTAGTTCCCCCACCAGATGCCCCTCAACCTCTTGGTGGCTGATTGTCATGTGCAGGGGCCTGGGAACAGCGCCGATTCCTGCCTTTCTGGATTGCTCTCATTCACCTTTGTACTCTTGCCCACCTGGGGGCCTACCATGGACAGAGGCATCACTAGGGAATGCTGGGATGTAGACTGCTGTCCCTGACAGAGGGGGATGACACCCAGTGACCAGAGTTCAGCAGTGACGGCAGTAGATGGACTTGTGCCACAGGGGAGGGACCACCAAGGGAGTGAGGTCACTTGGTGTTAGAGACCACCCAGGTGACTCATCACCACCTCTCCATCACCTGAATGCCACAGAGGTGCCAGCAGGTTGGCTAAGGACACCTGCCACTGGGTGGAGAGGTAGGTCTTACCTGCAACAGGAAACTGTGGGAATCTCTGGGGGGCGGGACCTGCACAGTGGGGGCTGTCTCATCTCCCCACATTGCAGGCACTCTGGCAGCACAGCAACAGGCCATGACCACTACCTTCTGGGACCTGTGAGCTGCCCCCACCCCACCCCTGTGACTGGTACAGTGACCAGTGCTGTGGTCAGTCCTGTACAAGTGCCCAGTGAGAGCAAACCCTCCTGAGAAAGCAGGGCAGCAAAGGTTTAAGTGTCTCTGCCTTGCTCATCACACACTCAGAAGAACATTAACTGTTGCATACTAGTATAGAGGTTATCCTATGGATCCCATTTATTTCCAAGTCCCAATCTGACACCTTCTAACTCCAAAGATGCCTGATGCCCGGGATGAAGACTAGAAAACTAAGGCACTGTGTCAGAGTCGGTTAGTGACGCCTAAAACCTGAAGATCCATGAGTCCCGACTTCAGGACTCCACCCCTGCAGGTCTGGGAGACCAGGCTTCCGTTGCCTTCTCCTTCCATCTCTGGTCCTGAGAGTAGAGCCTGTCTCTTGAGGTCTTCTGAGGAAGCCAGGGCCTTCCTGCACCTGGATGAGAAGATCCAGGGCCTCAGTGAAGCAGCGGTTCCAGACAGTTAGGTGACAAGGAAGAGACATCAACATCCTGTTGCCATCCAGACAGCTGGTTGTCTGTCAAGACCACAGTGATTGTGCTAAACTCGCCGCAAGAGAATCTATCACAGCTGTGCCCAGCACCAGGGAGGCAGAGACAGGAGCTCAGGAAGGCACCTCAAGGTGGGCTCCAGCTGTGGGCAGGAGGCATGTGGGGCTGAAGAGATGTTGGTTTACAGCCCAGGCTGTAATCAACACTTCGCAGACCAAGGTGGGTGATGATGGGACGCTGGCCCATCGGGGTGTGCCTGGTCAGCAGCGGGGTCCTGGATCCCGAGGTTGCCATTGCCTCAATGCCGCTTCCCACAGCACAGAGGGGTCGCTATTCTGTCCAGAAGAATAAGGTGGCCTCAGAGCTTGCTTTTCGGGCTCTCTGTCAGGGGCTGCTGCAGCTGCCACACCACCCGGATGGCCTTGGCAGCGGAGTCCAGCCGGTGGAAGTCACTCAGGTCACCGGTCTTGTGGTAGCGTTGCAAGGCCGGCCGGAGCACCGTGATGGGAATGCTGTAGTTGAGGTGCGGGTAAGTAGCTCCCGTGCTATTGTCCCGGGTGTTGCTGGCGACAATGCCTGTCGAGGAGTCAGAGAGGAAAGAGGAGGTGAACAGGAATACAGATCCATGGAAGGGGAAGAAGGGCAGACCACACGGCCCCAATAGTCAATGACATTGGGCTCCCTGTCGGGGACTCTCACCCCAACACCCAATCCCACTCTACTCACTCCCAGAACTCTATCACTACCTGACACGTAACCTGTGCTGTCGATTACCTTCCTCTCCAACCAGTGTCAGTTCCACACATCTCCCCAGTGCCCAGCACAGAGCAAGTACTTAGCAAATCTTGTTGACTGAATGACTGAATCAAACCCACAGCCAAGTTTTCTTTGGCCTCCTGGGTTCATGTGAGTGTGTGTCTAAGCTATTGTTGCTGTTCTGTACCACAGAGTTGGATCTAACCCATAGCTGACCCTCCAGCCAGTTTTGAAAGGCAGTTCATCGCAAGGGAGGAGACTGTCCATCCTTCTCCCGCGGAGCAGCTGGCCTTGAACCACGTGCCTTCGGGATTGCAGCACAGCTTCTTATCACAAGGCCACCAGAGCTCCTTGTGTGTGCATGTACGTATACATTTTGAAAAATAATTTCGATTTAACCAAAGAGCACAGGCAGTGAATGTCCTCCAAACCCTGGCTAACTCCTTCCTGGGCATAAAGCCCACCAATCCACCAGCTAGGGGTCATTCCCAGGACCGGAGCCTGAGCACTCCTGGGGAAGTCTGGGGGAGGATCGAGGAACCAGTTACCCAGGAGGTTCCCAGTGTCGGTGGAGAACAGAGGTCCCCCACTGGAGCCCCCGTGCACAGCACATGTTGTCTGCAGCATCACCGGCGTGTCGTCCACATGCACCACAGCAGACAGGATGCCCGAGGTCACCAAGGGCCCACAGGCCTGGCCGAAGATGCCGTAGCCCACCACGCTGACAGCCTCACCTGCCGCAGACGGGAAGACCGTGAAGCTCCCCAGCCCCCATGCCCACGCTCTGCAAAGAGACTCTATCCTCCGTCTCTAGCCAGTTCCCCAGCAGGCAGAGACTGAGCCCTCCGCCGAGTTCCCAGCACAGCGTATATCCAATGACTTCCCCAAAGCACTAGACTGTCATAGCTAAGCCCTCATCTCCCTGCTAAACCACAGAGCCACTTTTAGGTGTTCCTAGCATCTAGCCTGCAGCCCCTGGGTGGTGCAACAGTCAGACCACTCAAGCTGCCTACCAAAAGTTGGAGGTACCCTGCACGAAAGGCCTGATGATCTACACCTGAAAAATCAGCCATCATGGAGCTCAGGTTCACTCTGCCAAGCTTGGGGCTTCCCTGTGAGTTTGAACCAAATCAACAGCATTTGGCTGGCACTTAGCTCGGTGCTCATCTCTCCAGGAGACTAGGAGTCTCTCAGTGAGAAGAAAGCTGGTAATGATGAATATAAACAGTCAGGGGGCTCAGCGCTTTCCAGTTCAAATTTCCTTCCACACAGTGTCTTCCTCAGAAAGCCAGGCATAGAAGCATGAGCACCACTTAACAGATGAGGGAACTGAGGAAGAGAGCAGCTACGGGCAACTTGAAGCCCATCCTCTCCATCTCCGCACCATACAGCTCCAAGAAATGAGGCACATGGGACTCAGGCAGGGGCATTACCAGGCCTTGGACTCCAACCACGCCACTAGCACCTCAAAACTGCCACACACGTCTCCAGCCAGCACCCTACACCACACGGCTGCTGGCAATGGAGGAGGAGTGCTTGCTACCTCACAGGTGCTCCTCCTGCCCCTGGAACCTTGCAAAGGGATGGGCATCAGCAGGGTTTCCAAAGGCCACCTGACCAAAACACTCTAACCAGGATGACATGCCAGCTTGAAGCCACCCTAACTCATTTATTCAGCTGGAGTGGGGAGAGGAATTGGTCCAGGAAACTGGCCTCTGAACCTGGCAGCATCAGAGTGCCCTGCAGTGATTTCCTATCCCAAATGAGGCCCGCCTTTTCGGGGGGTGCCACCTTTGTTCATTACCTTCATGGAACTGCTCGGCTAGCACAGGTGTGGGAACACCGTCCAGGGCCTTCTCCAGCATCACCACCGCTATGTCATAGGGAGACACCTCGTGGGTAGCAAATACCACTTGTCCCCAAATGGCAACACGCCTGGGAGGAAAAAGATGACAGACTTTGTGACCTTCATTCACTCCCTCGCTGTGGTCAACTCTTTCATAGTGACCCTCTTTCAACTTTCTGAGGCTATAAGTCTTTTTTTCTTTTTTCAGTTTGCTTATCTATTTTCTTTTTTTTTCATCAAGAGTTCTTTTTATTTATTTTTCATTTCAATGAACATCTACAGAGATTTTGGAATTCCATTCATTATTTGTTCCCCCCCTCCCCCCGCCCGTTTGCTCCTCTCCTTGAAAAGCAAAACTCCCTCATTGGTACATCCCCCCGCACATCCCCCAACCACACCCCCAAACCCAAATATAATCCACTCTGCAACCCTCATTCCGTACTCTTACAGTAAACATAATGCCCTAAAATATAATACTTTTAAACTATTCTCTCCCCCATAGACTTCAATGCCGTAAACATATTTCATCCAGTTTTTCTCAGTCTTACCCCTACCCCGATGTCAGCCTCATCCTACAACAGTGGCACCATATAGCATTTGTCCCTTTGTGACTGAGATACCTCACTCAGCATAATGTCCTCCAGGGTCACCCATTTTGAATAATATTGCATGAGTTCCTTGTTTTCCAATGCAGCATAATATTCCACTGTGCGAATATACCACAGCTTCTCTACCCATTCGTTTGTTGATGAGCATTTAGGTTGTTTCCAACTCCTTGCTATTGTAAACAATAACAACTGGAACAGCACATCAACAGAGAACTACCAGAAGTCCAGGCTGGGTTTAGAAGGGGTCGTGGTACTAGAGATATTGTAGCTGATGTTAGATGGATCTTGGCTGAAAGCAGGGAATACCAGAGGAATGTCTATCTGTGTTTCATTGACTATGCAAAGGCATTTGACTGTGTAGATCATAACAAACTATGGCTGACTCTGAGAAGAATGGGAATCCCAGAACACTTGATCGTTCTAATGCGAAACTTTTACTTGGACCAGGAGGCAGTCGTCAGAACAGAGCAAGGGAACACTGCATGGTTCAAAATTGGGAAGGGCGTACGCCAGGGATGCATCCTATCTCCATACCTTTTCAACCTATATGCAGATTGTAAACAAAGCCGCAATAAACACGGGTATGCATATATCTATTTGGGTGCCATTTATGGTCTCTTTAGGGTATATTCCCAGTAGTGGAATTGCTGGGTCAAATGGTATCTCTATTTGCAACTTTTTGAGAAAGCGCCACATCGCTTTCCACAGTGGTTGCACCATTTTACACTCCCACCAACAGTGAATAAGGGTTCCCGTCTCTCCACAACCTCGCCAGCATTTGTTGTTTGCTGTTTTGTTAAATTTTGCTCGTCTTACTGGGGTGAGATGATATCTCATGGTTGTCTTGATTTGCATCTCTCTCAGAGCTAGGGATTTTAAACATTTCTTCATGTGCTTGCTGGCCATCTGAATGTCTTCCCTGGTGAAGTGTATGTTCATATCCTGTGCCCATTTTTCAATTGGATTATCCACCTTTATCTTGTTGTGGTGCTGAAGTATTTTATAAATTTTAGATATAAGTCCCTTATCTGACATCTCATTACCAAACACTTTTTCCCAGTCTGTGGCTTCCCTTTTTACTCTGTTAGAGAAGTTTCTGGATGCGCATAGGGATTTGATTCTTAAAGGTCCCATTCATCTATTTTATCTTCTCCTGGTTGTAATGAGGCTGTAAGTCTTAATGGGAAGAGACTGCCCATCTTTCTCTGGCAGAGCTGCCGGACTCGTGCCTCAGGAGACACGTGCCCTTCTGGTTCATTAGCACTCAGTCCTCTCTAGATGGCCTGGCTCCTTTTCTGACTTTGAGCGTTGCCAACTGGGCATCTAGGAGAGGGGCAGGGAGAAAAGGGAATAGCAGTAAATGTATGTACCTTGCGTGGAGTCAGAAGATCTGGGTACCATCCAGGCTACTCTGAGTACATCACTTACAATGCAGCAGTTGCAAACATGCACTGTAAACTGTAAGCATGTCCATGTGTGGTGGGAAGGCCCTGGGTTGTGGAAACAATAAACTCAGCTGCAAACCAAAAGGGTAAAGGTTTGAGGCCACCTGAGGTTCCTTTAAAGAAAAGGCCTGATGATCGATTTCCAAAAAGCAAGAGAACCCTAGGAAGCACAGTTCTATTCTCATTCTCTGTGTGTGTTTGTGTGTCTCTGTTTCTGTCTCTCTGTCTCTGTCTGTCTCTCTCTCTCTCACACACACACACACAGACATACACACGGCCACCATGAGCTTGAATCAGCTTGACTGGCGTTCATACTTTAGCGCCATGGGCTAAGTCTGACATTGCTGTGTTTTTCTTTTTGTTCTTAAGAACATTATTAATGTCATTTTCCCAGCACCCATTTAAATCAGACATTGTTCTTATCCTCACTGTCCAAGTAGGGCCCAGAAAGATTGAGTTAATTTTCCCAATATAACTGATATGATAAGTGACAGGACCCAGAACAAACGTTGGGAGCCTTCTCTTTGACTGCCTTTGTTGATACTCTCAACAATGTCATCAGCTGGTGAAACAAGTGTCACTTTACCCTCTGGATCCCTGTTTGCTACAGGGATCTACAGCCCTATTCTAAAACCTTACATGGTAACCCATGAAGAGATAGCTTAGGGATAAAGTGACTTGCCACAGATCACATAGGGGACTTCTAACGTACAACTTCTTCAGCTAGTGTCCAGCAGAAGTGGCAGTTTCACTAAGAGCAGAGTGTGTATTTTGTGAGGTGGATAATGAGAGTTGGGGGGGGGGGGCTAGGTCACATCTCACAGTCTTCTCTATAAAGCCAAGCAAGGTTAACCACACTGTGTTAACCACTGGAAACAGAAGAGGGATCTGGAAAGGCATGGGCTGGAAGACTAGGTTGATCTATCAGGTGTCAGTACACCAAGACTGTCTTTTTTGACCCAAGTTCAATAGTGAGGTTCCAAAGGACAGACAGAAAACACAGCCAGGATGGCAAGGCAGATGTTGACAGGGGCAGTGGTAAAAGTAAAGAGGTTGAGGGTGCTTTTCCTGGTGGAGAATAAACCATCTAAAGATCTAACCTCACAGCCACCCAAGATCTCTCAGACTGCTCAAGACAAGCCTATCTCATTACATAAGGCAGCACTCTGGGACCCAGGGATCTGATCACCACTTGGGGAGGGGGGAAGGCCTTTGCCATTTAAACATATTAAGGGCTATGAGATAGAGAAGTTGCCCCAAAGAAATGAAAAGTTCCAATGTTGCCCACACCCGGCTACAGCAAAGTCCCACCGGCCCCCAACTCAGAGCTGGATGCCGCTTACCTAACACCCACTCTGTCCCTGGCTGGAGGTCCAGAAGCCCCTACCCTGGGGTTCTAGGCGTCAACTATGAGGGGAGAGCCCCAGGTCCCACCCATGTCGCACTCCAATTCATCTGTGTGATGCCAGCAGTGAAACCTAGGTTCAGCGCTGCCTGGTGGGCCTCACCTGGGAGTGGAGGAGCACACCAGGACTCTGGTCTTCTCCCGAGGCACCACATGTCGGCAGGTCAACACAAGGCGGGGCGCCACCGCTACTCCAGAGCCCCAGGAGCTGCCACACTCCACCAGCACCGCCGCAGCTGCCCAGGTGGGCTCGGCGGGGTCTTGGAGCAGTAGGCCCCGCGGGGCGCGCATTTCGCGAGGCAGCTGGGTGGCTAGGGACGCAGCACAGAGGCGCAGATGGGCGAGCGCGGCCCGGGCCACCTGGAGGAGCGGGGCAGCGGCGCACAAGAGCGTCAGGCCCACCCACTCGTGCCCTTTCCAGCAAAACGGCGACGCCACCAGCGCCACCAGCGCGCCCGATGGCCGCGCCAAGAACACGCCGCCGCCTTCGGTGCCGGGTAGGCAGCGCGCATCGGTGAGCAGCAGCGGACCCGCCGTGTTGCTGAGGACGCCTCGACTCAGCGTGTTGAGAAAAATGTCCGGGCAGAAGGTGCCGAATGGAGAGCCGCAGGCCAGCAGCGGCGCACCTTTGGCCACGGTCCCCAGGGGCGCCACCGTCAAGGCCACCCCGCACTCCGCGGGGTTCCGTTGTGCTGCCGCCGGCTCAGGCTGCACGCGCAGAAGCGCGAACCAGCCCATCGCCCGCAGCAGGTTCTCTTCGTTGTCCCACACCTCGTCCTCCGGAGACAGGCTGGCGAAGCGCCACTGCTCGGCAGCATCGCCTCCGTAGAGGCGCGCGAACTGGGCTCGGAAAGCCGGGCAGCTTAGCAGCAGCAGCAGCTCGGCAGGGCGCGGGGGTGACAGGGGCCGCCCGCGCGGCAGGGCTGCCAGGCCGGCTTCGGGGCCTGCGCACTTTGGGGTGCACAACACCGGACGGCCCTGCCGCGCGCAGCCTGCGGGGTTCGCGGTCGTTGAGCCCCACTGCACGTGCAGGCGGAGATCGTCGTCGCAGCTGTCTGCCGGCAGGAAGGACACGTCGGCCGCTGTCAGAGTCCTGCTGCCTGCCCGCAGGAAGGGAGTGAAGATGCGCCCGTGACACAGAACCAGGCCCGTGCTGCGGTTCAGGATCACCCCGCTGCAGCTCCACAAGCCCTCGTCGGGTTGGCTAGCCCGAGAGGCGCTCACCACGCAGCCGGCCTGCTCGGCTGCCCTCATGGCGGGGGCCCACAGCCACCCCATAGCTTCACCGAGTTCCCGCGGCGAAGGGCCTAAGGGTCTTGGGCTAAGCGACTAAATCCACGCGGCGCCACCTAGAGCTGCGAGCGAGAGGTGCAAGCACTCGCTTCGCTCTTCCTCATCAAGCGTTGATTGGCTAAAAATGACCGATCCGTACGGGTGGGGTTCAATCCAACCTTTGATTGGCTATTTTTGCTTCTTTCCCCGCCCTTGTTATCTCACCCAACCATACAGCTCACCAACAGCTGGTCCAGAGGACGAGCCCCTAGAAGATGATAGGTGTGTGGCTGTACCGGAAGCTGTGGAGGTGGGCAGGGCAGAGTCCTAGGAGCCTAATCTCTTCTCTGTCTCTAGGGTTCCAGGAATGGGATTAGAAATCAACTACTTTAGGCGAGCTCTGGTGGCCTAGTGGCAAGAAGCTGCACTACAATCCCAGAGAGGCACGGTTCAAATCCATCAGATTCTCTGCTGGAGAAGGAGGAACAATCTCCTCCTGTACCAGGCAGATCTGATCTGACAGTACACATACATACACACAAAATAATAAAATAATAAAAAATAATTTAAAAATCAACTACTTTAGCTGGGCGGGACTGCTCTAGGCGGTGATCTGTCAGAATCGGCCAGGCAGATTCCTAAAATAATCCTTGGCCAATTAAGTATTTAAACTCTGAAAACAGCTATCCTTTACAGTATATGCGGCGCAAAGGATCAACTCCTAGATCTCTCTTTAAAGCCAAGGCTCCCCACACAAAAAATCTCGGGGTAATTGTTATGTGCTGTCAAGTCGCCTGCAACTCATAGCGACCCTATGTAAAACAGCTCTGAATCCTGCTCTATCCTAAGCCATCCTTATTGTCTGTGACACACCTACTCCCTTTTACCCCAGTCACTGAGTCAATTCATCTCTTCAAGGGTCTTCCTTTCTTGCACTGTCCCTCCACCCCTTCAAGCATGATGTCCATCACTAAGGACTGGTGCAAAATACCAGTATGTCAGACGGAGCTTCAGAATCCTTGCCTCTAAAGAGTAGCCTGGTTCACCCTCTCTAAGATGAAACTGTTCTTTCCCTGTCAGTCCATGGTATATTTAACACTCTTCTCTAGCACTACAGCTCAAATGCATCAATTCTCCTATCATCCCTAATCATTGTCCAGCATGTAATTGTGAAGACCATAGCCTGAATCAGGTGCACCTTAGTCTCCAGACTGACGTCGTTGCTCTTCAATACTCTGGAAATGTCCCTGACAGCAGACTTTCTCAGTGCAATACATCTTTTGATTTCCTGGTTGCTGGTACCCCCCAGAGTGTTAATTGTGGAGCCAAGCAAACTAAAGCTGTCAACAATCTCAATCTCCGCTATCTGTCATGATGGCTGCTATGGTGAGTGGTGAGAATCTTTGTTTTCTTGATGTTGAGCTTCAATCCATATTGAAAACTGATGTTGCACTTCAATTCATATTGAAAACTGCAGTTCTTTACTTTTCTGCAGCAAACACCTAGGATCTTCTCAGTTTCAGCAAGCAATCATCTTCATAATAGGGTTTGTTGATGAACTTCCTCCAATCCTCCAATGCCCATATTCCTCCTCATAAAGTTCATCCTCCTGAATGATCTGTTCTGCATATAGATTGAAAAGGAATGGAGACAGGACACCTCCTGGACACATTCCTGATGCACTCCCCTCTAGATTTTGAACCATGCAGGGTTTCCTGCTTCCTGGTCCAAGTATAGGTTTCACATGAGCACAATCAGGAGGTTGCAAGAAACTTCCTGAAATGGCTGCTTCTGCAATTTAAAAGATTGGCGAGAAAACAAATTTGATATCTGAACTCATCCAGTCTAAAATGCAGGAAGCAACAGTGCAGCTCCTGCTAATCAGAAACTCTGTATTACAAATTTTATAACAGAACCTAGCCTGTCACATTCCCCACCTAAGAGATTGCCACGCCACCCTCTTGAGGGGAGATAGAGGAAAGTCTGTTCTTCTGTAACTTCTTTAATCAGAGGCTATAGAAATCTGCTCAGTCAGCAGAGTAGAATTCTCTTTACCTGTTACTTTCACTTCCTATGGAGTCTCAGGTTATTATCATCTATTACTTGGACAAATATAGATCTCTTCCAGTCAGTTGGCCAAGTGGTTGTTCTCCAGATTTCTTGGCACAACTTGGTGAGCACATCCAGGGCAGCATCTGT